GGTTAAGTGTTGCAGAGAGGCTGATTTGAGTTTGACAAAAGAAAAAAAAACTTCTTTATAATTAATAGGACCAGGTGCATCAGTTGTTGCAAATTTTGCTTTGAAATAAAAAGGTTTTACCCTCTCACTATTTCCTTTGCTTTATGGATTAGAAAAAAACCCAACACTGCATCAATTGACACACTTTGGTCCTTGGAGATAGTCTTTATTTCCAGTCCTTTTATTAAAGCTGACCAAAAGTAGAACAATCTGCTTCCACAGGTAGTGAGTTTCTTCTCACTGGAGGTCTTTAGGCAATGACTGGATGACTGCTGTTTAAGAATTGTTTAGAGTGGAGAAGATTTTTTTTTACAGTATTGGATCCAAACCAAATGGATCCAATGAGATAATATATGCACAGAGTTTTGCAAACCTGAAAGCACTATATAAATGCTAGATAGCATTATTATTAATTATTGGGTGGACCCTAAAGTTCCTTGGGCAGTAGGTGGCAGAGTTGATGGAGCACTGGGCTTGGAATCAGGAAGACTCATCTTCATGAGATCAAATCCAGCCTCAGACACTGGCTGTGTGACCCTGGGCAAGTCACTTAACCCTGTTTGCCTCATCTATAAAATGAACTGGAGAAGGAAATGGGAAACCACTCCAGTACCTTTGCCAAAGAAAACTCCAAATAGGGTCACAAACAGTTGGATACGACTGAAATGACCCAAACAACAAAACAACAACAAAGTTCCTTACAACTTTGAAAATCTCTGAAGTTTCTTGTACTTTTAATTCTCGTCAGAATCTTCCTTTCCCAAATACCACAAGAGGGCACCATGAGTCTAGATATACAGCCCTGAGGGGCCAAACATTCTAAAGGTATTTAAATCCAATTCACTTGTAAGTCATGGCAGCACCTTCCTGATGTCATGGTCCTCTTCGAGAGGGAAGGACAAACAACAACAACTAGGTAGCTTCAATCAAACTGTAGGAACATAGAGAAAAAGGTCACCTTGTTGTCTTGAACATTATGGACGAAGGTTGTCCCTAGAACGTGTTCTGTCTGCCTGTGATTCTATCAGCCAAGTGTTTGGGGGGGGGGGGGCGAGGAAGGGGATGGTATTGGGAGCACACAAGCTAATCCTGAGGGCTTTTAAAATGCATGATATACTTCTAGATCTTCAATTGTGCAATGAAAAACACGTACGTGTCACTTTTTTTTTTTAGGTGAGTGGTGATCTTTAATGCTAAAGGTAATACCCATATCAGTGATATCATGGATCCGTTTATGTACTATATAAAGTTAAATTTTCTACAGTATAGTAGCCAGAAGATCAGCGGTTGGTTGTGCATGTAACTTTTGGGGGGCTGAAGAATGCCAGAGCTTGGGCCTCCAGAGTAAAGACATTCCAGAAACTTAGTCACTTAGCCTGTCTAGGCCTCAGTTTCCACAGCTGTAAAATGAGAGGATTTATTAGATATTCTCTCTAAGGTTAGATTATATTAGATACTCTTTCTAAGGTTCCTCCCAGCTCTAAAATGCTCTGATTTTGCGAAAACCCAGGGTTTTCTTCAACAGCCTTATGTGGTTCCCCAAGAGAATTACCTTGGAAATGATCACATTTCTGTAGCAACAAGGTTTTCCTTCCTTCTTCACTACAACCTTGGAAGGTAGGCAATGCAGCAAATATTATCACCATTTTACTAAGCTGCAGAGGAGTTCAGTGAGTTGACCATGGTCACAAAGTTAGGAAGCATCAGAGCCTGAATTCAAATCCAGATCTTTAAGGAGTACTGTGATAATTAAAAGCTTTATGTTGTTTGAGGTTATTGTTTGATTCTTATTTGATGCCATAATGACAGGACTCTGATATGGAGTCATTTAGGCTAAGTGCTCCTAATGCCCATTAAAACATATAGGCAAAACAGACAATTGTACTTTTCCGCTGCTGATTCTGTGACAGATGGATGAGGGTTGCAGTTTTTGATGGGATGAGCTCTTGACCTACTACAGGGGGGCCCGGAGTCATTCTACTTCTGCTGCCTTAGTCAACAGTAAATCCTCCCATTACTTTGTGGTCTAGACAAAGAAAGTTCCCTTAGCAGCACTTCATCCAAGCCTAAGATAGGTTAGGGACCCTGAGAATATTTCCACCACATCTGGGTCTGATTAGGAACACCCCTTCCTACATCTGGCACCAATTACCTGTTCTCAACCAAGCCCATTTTTAGGGTATATGATCTTGTCACCTGAACCCCAACTTGGAGCATATTCTGCCCCCAACATGTCTCCTTCACCCTCTGCCCAGGCTCGGTTTTTTGCATGTGGGAACAAACTACTGGTTGTTTATATTGTCATAGTGTATATGTATGTATACAGACACACATATATACGTATACATACATACACTGTATATGCTATATATAGTGCCATAGTGTGTGTGTATATGTGTATATGTATATATACATACATACACACATACATATATGTGCCATATATAGCGTGCCGTGCTGTGTGTGTATACACCACATATATATCCATTGTGTGTATATATACATAGAGAGACGTATATTTGTTTGCCAGCTTGCTGCATCAAATAACAATAAAGCACTTGATTGTATTGTTTCCCCAAGTGCCAATTTTCTAGAAATCAGAACCCAGGTATTTGCTTTAACCAGAAGGACCAAAAACAACAGCCCCTAAACCAAATAAAGCAAGTATTTACTAGGCAAATAACATCTTAGTATTTTTATGAAAATGGTTTTTAGGTCCCCATTGAAAGACTCTCAGGGACCCCCAAGGGTTCTCAGACCACACTGTGAGAACCCCTGCCTTAGAGTTACCTGGGACTTTAAGGTTATTTGCCCAAGATCACCCAGCTAGTAAGTGACAGAGATGGTGTTCATCCCACTATCCCAGGCTGCCTCCAGTGAAGACTGTAAAGATACCCTGCTACCACTTTGACAGTTGTGAGGGGATCATTGTAGGAATGTCACTCCAACTGTTATCCTGAGCACTGTTTTCACCTCCCCACAGTCCCCCACCCCCAAGCCTCCAGACTGTCATTCTATACCACTCTCACCAAAGAACCACTCAGGACTATACCTGTGGCTCGGATGAAAAAGAAAAACCCTGCCCCATGCTGATCAGTCAAGGGAGAAGAGTAAGCACTGTATCCAGCTCTAGGAATAGTGAGCTTTAATACAATTATAAATCATCTAGTTGGTCAATGCCCCCAAAATTTGAATTTCTCAGTCCAGGAACTCCTTCCACTGACAGAGAGACAAACAGACAGATACAGAGGGAGAATAGAAAGAAAGAAAGAAAGAAAGAAAGAAAGAAAGAAAGAAAGAAAGAAGGAAGGAAGGAAGAAAGAAGGAAGGAAGGAAGAAAGGAAAGAAAGAAGGAAAGAAAGAAAAAAGGAAGAGAAAGAAAGGAAGGAAGGAAGAAGGAAAGACGGAAGAAGGAAAGAAAAAAGAAAGGAAGAAAGAAGGAAATAAAAAAGAAAGGAAGAAAGAAAGAAAAAAGGAAGGAAGGAAGAAGGAAAGAAAGAAAGAAAGAAAGAAAGAAAGAAAGAAAGAAAGAAAGAAAGAAAGAAAGAAAGAAAGAAAGAAAAAAAGAAAGAAAAAGAAAAATACATAGATAAATATGTAGGTAAGTATATAGGTAGGTACATGGTTCAGTAGATGCTATAGAGAAGTGGTTATCAAACTTTTATGTCTCAGGACCCCTTTATACTCTGGAAATTTATTGAGGACCCAAAGAGCTTCTATTTAATGTAGGTTATATTTAGGGATGTGCTGGCAACTGTTTAACAACCAGCTCTCTGGGGGGGTGGGGGGAGGGGAATGTACACAGGACACATATTTAAGCTTGGTCTGCATTATCCTCATTTTCTCCATCACTCTCTTAAGTCTAGACAATAAACAAAACAATACATGAGGTCCTATTTTGAAGCATTTACTGATTTCTGGGTGTAAATACTCACACTTGGCTCTCAGGAGTCAGGTTGAGTTGACTCTAAAATATCTATCAATCAATATTTACTATATTGGAAATTACTCATTTATTAATGGCTAATTTTAAATTAGAAAATTTACTGTATTAGAAATTAAAACTGAAATTTTAAAAATACTCATTTAAAATAATTTTAAAATCCATTATGTTAATATAAATAGCTTATATTTTGAAAACTGTTTTCCAAATAAAAAAATTTAGTGAGAAGAGTGATATTGATCTGCATACTTTTATAAACCTCTTTCATATCTGGTTTTGGAGATAGCTGGATAAGCAAATCTGTTTGTGCATTTGATCTGTTGTGATATATTATTTTGGCTAACACAGATATGCACCTGGAAGAAGAGAGGAGTATATTAATAGGCAAATAACATCTTAGCATTATTATAAAAATAATTTTGACCTTGTATCCCTCCTGGTTTCAGAGACCCCAGGTAGACCTCAAACCACACTTTTAGAAGCACTGCCTTAGAAAATTTACCTGGAGCTCTAAGATTATTTGCCCAAGGTCGTACAGCTAGTAAGTAGCAGAGATTTGAACTCTGGCCTTCCTGAACCCAGGTCTGGCATTTGATTCACTCCATACACTGTCTTTTATCCAGTGTAGCCCAGAAGAACAAGATCCAAAGGCACATAAATTATAGAACTAGGATTAGAACCCAGGTCTTCTGATTCTAAATCCCACATTCTTTCCATTAGAACATGAGCTGGAATCTACAATCCCCAGTCACTCAGTCTTTCCAAAGAGGAAGTCCTTTTGGACATCCAAACTTCCCTTTGCCACCTTTGCAGAAAGATAATCATGTTGGCCTGACTCCCTCTCCCAAATCTCCTGCCTCCTCTGGAGCTGATTCCCCTTCCTGCCACCTCCATGCTCGCCAACCTTAGGGTTTGGCTGGCAGTCTGGCAGAGCTAGAGGGGACTTGTTGCTTGGGCAGCCTTCCAGGGCCCTTCCCCACTCGCTCCTTCCCTGGTCTGACAACTCAATCGACTTGACATGACAGGAGACGGGAATGAGTGGCAGGGGCCAGTCGCCAAGACACACAGGTAGGGAGGGAGGGAGAGAGAGAGAGAGATTTCTGGGAACTTGCTTTGCCCCCTATCTTAGAAAACAGCTGCCTCACCAGTAAATGTGTCTCAGAGGAGGAGATGATCAGCCTCTTGGAATTTCCTTTTCTGAGGCCATTAGCCAGCAAGGGATGAAGCAGAGGGATAAAGCGAAGGAATGGAGTTGGAGGGCTAATAGTCCCAAAGAGGAACCAGGAAAAGCTGCGGAGGGGTCAAACGTCATCACAATTTTGACCAGCAATGTCTTGGAGCCAGAGCTGCTGTTCCTTTCTGAAAAAAGTCCTCCAGCTGTTGACTTTAAAAAAAAAAAAAAAATTATACTGGCTAATTTGCATGCTCATTTGCATTATCATTTGCATAAGGCTCTTTTGATGTCTAAAAGCTCTGAAATTTCCCCAGCCTCTGCTCCTTTTCAGCCCTGTTTTTTCTTCTCCCAATGCTCTCAAGTGAAAAAGAGGCTCCAAACCTTACATATCCCTAACCATTAGATATCTGCCCCCAGATAATCTCTTCAATCTAGATGGAAAGTTAAGGTCATCCCAGAAAGTGGTAGGGAGGAGGGAGGAGGAAAGAAAAGGAGAAAGAAATACGAACCTCTTGCTGACAGCCAGGGAAACATTGCCAAGTTTACAGTCAATTACAGGACTTTAAATCTGGGGGAAATAATATAGAAATAACTGTCACCTCCAAATCTTGACCATCCTCTTCATCCTGACTGAGACCCTTCCCCTACTAATGGTTCAGGAAGGAAGCATGGAAGTAGTGGAAAGAACACAGATTTTAGAGTACCAAGACCTGAGTTTCAATTTGAGCTCTCCTGTTATTGGCTGTATAATCTGGACAAGTCATTTAACCTTTCTGAGGCTGTTTTCCTCACCTGTAAAATAAGGAATTGGACTAGGTTATCTACAAAATTTCCTCTAACTCTTGTTCATTGTTTTCAGTCGTTTCAGTCTTTGTAACCCCATTTGGGGTTTTCTTCGTAGAGATACCAGAGCGGTTTGCCATTTCCTTCCCCAGCTCATTTTACAGATAAGGAAACTGAGGCAAACAGGGTGAAGTGACTTGCCCAGGGTCACACAGCTAATACGTTTCTGAAGCCAGATTTGAACTCAGGAAGATGAGTCTTCCTGACTCCAGGCCCAGAACTCTATCCACTGTGCTATCTAGCTGCCCACCCAACTCTAAAATCCTATGATTCTATAAGGCCCTCTCAAACCTTGTTTCCACTAGTCCACTCTTAATCACAACGTGCCATTTCAGGTATAAGGGTAAAAGAGAAGAATGCTTGGCCATATGCTGTTTAAGGTTCTAATCAATGATTTGGTTAAAGGCATAGATCCTGTACTTACCAAAATTTGCAGATCCAAAAAAGATCTACGCGGGCTGTAATGTTGGGCTAGACCTTATAAGATAACAATAGGAATAAAAACAAACTCTTGTACTCCGTTTTAGAAACTGACTTATGAAGTAAATGATGAGGGAGACACAGTCTGCATAAAGAGTATTCAGTACCAGAGAGGCAGTAGTCCTATGTGTTGTGGTCAGACCACATCTAGAGCAGGACTCTTGGTTGGATATCACATTTTAGGAAGAACATCAATAATCTGGATAGAGTCTAGAGGACAGTAACCAAGATGATGAAGGACCTTGAACATGTAAACCAGAAAGATATATTAGGCCGAAAGGAGACTTAAGGGTTTTGGTGAAATGCTAGCTAAAATGAGTCAAGGGTGGAAAAATGTAATGCAATCTTAGGCTGCATAAGGAGAGGCCTAGCAGCAAAGACTAGAGCAGTGATGCTCCCTCTATCCTCTGCTCTGGCCAGACCAAATCTGGAGCCCCATTTGCAAGGCAGAGAGTCACAATTTAGAAAGGACACTAGGAAGGCCATAAGGATGTTCAATACCCATTGCTTTGATGGGGGCACCTCACCCACTCCGACAAATCCTGACCCAAGAAAGTAGATTTAGAGAGCCCTTTCCCCATTTCTTCTGTCCTTCCTTCCTTCCTTCACATTCCAATCCAAAGAGAAAGAAATTCATGAAGTGGCTACTATGTTTAAGTCACTATGCCAGGCATTAGAGAATCAAAGATGAGAACAGCATGGCTCCTGCTCTTAAAGGACTTACAATCTATTTAGGAGAATATAACATGAACACAGATAAGTATAATACAAGGTTGTCTGTGAAAGACGAGGAGAAAGAGAAAAATTGCTTTAGGGAAATTAGAGAGTATAAAACACGTTGGAGGGGGACTGGAGGATTGGGAACCCATGAAAACTACATAATGGTGGTTGGCCCTTGAACTGGGTGTTGGGAGAAGGAAAAAACTTCAACAGATTCAGATGTAGAATATAGTATGTTACAGGCCTCAAGGACAACCTATGTGACTGCATTGAGATAGGTGGGAGAGGGCAGGGCATCATTAGGAAACAGTTAATAGTCCAGCTTGGCAAGAGCATAGAGCACTAGCTGTCAACTAGTTGATCTAATCTAATGAGATAATAATTGAAAAGTGCTTAGCACAGTGCCTACCACATAGTAAGGGCTTTATAAATATTAGCTATTATTATGATATACTACTTGGGATTAGAAGATCTTTCTTCCCTCTCCCTGTTCAGGACAACTAGTCCACTTTAACAGGGGTCCTTGGTTAGAGTGGCCATGATTGAGCCAATTCCAGGCCAGGAAAAAGTGGGAATGGTGGGGATGGGATGAGTCCCATTACGTTGTATTAAGTAGAATTGTAGGGTCAGAGAATCTTGGAGCTGAATAGCATTAAACTGAAATAAACTTGGAGGTATCTGTTCCAATCCCCTCATTTCACATAGGGGAAAACTAAAGGCCAGAAAAAGGAAGTGATTTGTCCAAGGCCACCAGCCTCAGAATAGAGGTCCATCTCCTTCCTCTCTGCATAAAGCATCCCTTACCTCGAGTATTGGGATGTGCCTTAAACACCCTGGTGCTATGACTGACCAGAAGCTAAAAGGGACCTTAGTAACAATCTAGTTCAGGCCCATCTTTTTTCAGATGAGGAAACTGAACCCCAGAAAAGTAAAGTGATTTGCCCGAAGTCACAGAGACCTGGATTCTAGCCTAGGTCTTCTGATTTAAAATCATTGCTCTTTGCTCCACAATGTTGCCCCTCTGTCAAAGTATATCACTGTGGGAGGAGAAGGGTGAGGTTTGAGGTAGGGGGAACATGCCACCTTGACCTCTGTCCCAAGCCAACTCTACCTTAGTCAGGATGGCCCTAGGGCATCAGGTTTTCCAAACTGGCAAGAAAACAGTCTGAAGGCTGGAAGACTCCATCCAGTGACTGGGCCCCTCTCACCTGCTAGGGAGGCCAGCCCCACCCAGACAGAGCCCAACCCATCCATTGTTTTTTCCAAAGTACTGCTGACCCAGATGGGGGTGGGGGCATTGGAGAAAGGGGTCAGGATCTGGAGCCAAGAGTAGTATTTTCTGAACATTTAGCCACTCAGTGATTCTGACATGCAAATGATATGCAAATTTAAATGATATGCAAATTAGGGTCACAGTCAGGAACTTAGGCTTTTTTCTAAAGTAACAATTGCAAGGCAGCAGTCACGTGAGAAAGGCCAGCCCATGGGAAGGGGGTCTGCATTTGGAAGGGAAGCAGGACAAAAAGAGAGAAGAAATCGAGCAGTAGCTAGAGCTTTGATTGGGAAACAGAGGCTCTTGGGTCCTCTCTGCCTCTGAAACAAAACGTGATGAACCCCATATGCTTCCATACCATCTTTGGCTGCTTTTTTTAATCTTCCATCTCCTAACTAATGGGAGAATTCTTCTGTCTTCCCTTCACCTCCCATTCAAGTTATAAGAGTGAATGGAAGGAAAAGACATCATGACTTAAGGCAACTGGCAAGAAGATAACTTCTATGGATGCCAAAAAAGACTGCCATTTGCTAGCCATATAATCTTAGATAAGTCATGTAACCTTGCTGAGCCTCAGTGGTTTTGTTTTGTTTTTAAATCTATCCACAGGAACAATTGTACTTGTACTACCAATATCACAGAGACATAGGATCACAGATTTAGAACCAGCAGGGAAGTCAGAAGTCATTGAATTGAATCCCCATAGGTGGGGAAACTGAGGTTAGGAGAGGTTAAATGACTTGCCTAAGGTCATACAGGAAATTTGAGGCAGGATTCAAACCCAGGTCTTCCTGACTCCAAGTCCAGCTCTCTATCAGTTTCCCCAAGAAGTGAGAATCAGTTGAGGTAAAATAATGATCAATGTAAAATGTTTTCCAAACTAAAGCAATATACAAATGTCATCTATCATGATTATTATTATAATTTGCTTGGTCCTGGAAGAGGCTACAAGAGAAACACATGAGCAGTACCTAGCAATGTCATTGGGAGCCCCAGAATTCCACTCTGGGCAAAAAGGAGGCCCAGTCATCCCAGGGCCAATGGGTAGTTGGTGCCCACAGCTTCCAGCTCAGTTTTTAGGGTTTGAGAGGAGAAAATAAGATGGGGCCAGAGCAGGGATTTGGGGAAGAGCTGAATGACTGTTTTCCAATACAAGATCTAAAGCTGTCTTTGGACACCAACTAGTCCAGAAGTCCTTAACATGGAGTCCATGAACTTGTGTTTAAAAAAATATTTAGATAACTGTATTTCAGTATAATTGGCTTTCTCTGTAACCCTATGCATTTTATTTTATGCATTTAAAAATATGATTCTAAGGAGGGGTCCCTAGGCTTCACTGGATTGACAAAGGGGACCATGACACATTAAAAAGTTGAAGACCTCAGATCAAGTCCAGCCCCTCCCCCCAATTTTAGATAAACCAAGCCCCAGGCAGGGGAATCAGTTTTGTCCAAGGTACCACAAGTAGTAAGTGCAGAGCTGGAATTTGAACCCAGGTCCTCTGACTCCAAATTTGATGGTTTTTTCCCCCTACTACATTGGCTTCACCTTCAACCAAAAGCTTTCCTACCCAGAGTTCTTGAATTAGAGACATGAGGAATGAATCTTAGAGTGAAGACAGAGAAAGTTTCTAGCCTTGGGTTTTGGCCGAGGGCGTCTGAACTTCCACCATTGTATCTCCTTGCCCTCATCCCCATACCTGGTCCCCCAGCTCCCCATATGCAAATGATCAATTTGCATGGGCCATCTGCCAGGCCCGGAGACCCTGCCAGGGAGGGTGTGGCCCCAGTCAGTCCCGGCAGGCGGCTCCTTCTTCAGTGCCTCATGCTCACCTAGAGAAGAATCCTCAGCAGCTCTGGGCTGGTAGCAGCAGCTGGTCGGCAGCGGAGTGTAAGGGTTGCTGGGAGGGTAAGGGGATCCTGGCTGCCCAAGGGGACCAGCTGGGGCGAACAAACAGGGCCTGGGTGGGTACTGGCTTTGGCCCCATCTCAGGCAGGATGGTGAATTTGGAATCCATGCACACAGGTGAGGGGACTGAGAGAATGGGATCTGACAGGTGTCAAACTGGGTAGCTCCCTGTTGGTTCTGGGCAGCCCTCTAGGGCTGGGGGTGGACATAAAGAAAACTTGGCTTCCCAAAGTTTTATCCTTCCACCAGTTGGGGTAATAGTGTCATCTGGCCTTAGGTGACTTAGATTGGGGAATGGAGCACACTATATAAAGAGAAAGGGACAGACTAAGAGAAAGAGATAAGGGAACCAGGAAAAAGAATGTGGAGGGAATGTTGCAGGAGGGAAGGGGGAAAAGAGATGTGAGCGCTTGTATGGGTTGATTTAGGATGTGTGGGACAGTGGTAGGGATAGTATCTATCTGTGAGGTGTGTCTATATTCACGCAATTCAGAATTCAGAATCTAGGATTCAGAATCTAGGAGCCAATGCACACATATGAAATCCACCTACCCCCTCTGACTCATAAGGTTAAGGGCATATATGTCAGGGTGGGATTGAAGATATGCGCTCATTTCTAAAATGAAGGTGTCTATTGGGGCTATCTGGAAAAGGGCATAGGAGGGGGCAGAGCATGTGTGGATGCAAGGCATGTTTATTGGATTGCAACCCCCTCCTATACATACATGTTAGAGAACTATATATCCACATGTGTGTCCTGGGGCCAAGTCTTGAAGAGCTTGCCCATATCTCAGGTGGTGGGTTGCGGGGGTTGAAGATGCCTGCACATGTGTGTGAGGTGTGTCTGCATGTGTTGGGAGGTGTGTCCGCCCACGTGCTGTGGGGATCTTGGCTGGCTCGGTAGGCTCAGTGCATGGCGGTGCCGAAGAACTCGTGTGCATATTCTGGGCCAGGTCTGTGTCCTTAGTGGGAGCTGATCGGAGCCACGGATTGGGAGAGAGCATGCACATGGGTCTGTGGGGTAGGTACTTGTGTCCATTTGTCTGTCCTGGGGTGGCCACCATATTCTCAAGGTCTCCTGTGACTTGAGTAAGGGCAAATGGTCAATGGGAACATTTAACCTAGAGATCATTTTTGCTGGGTAAACAGTGACTGAGATCTGGAGAGATCAAGCCCAAATCCATTCACCTTGATTCCCTCCTCCCCTACCTAGGCTAGGCTAGAGACAGGCAGACAAAAGTGCCAAGGAGATAAGAGATCTTACTGGGAGTTGGCACTGAGCTGGATCCCACCCTCAGACAAGCTATTCTCCTCTTTTTGATTCTCTAATGCCACTGACTTAGGAGGCTGGAGACTGGACTATAAAAGGTCATAAACTTTTAGATTCCAGGGCTTGAGCAGTTAGCTGCTTGATACGTCTGTCCCTGCCCTAAAGGGTACAGAGGGGACGCTTCTTCAATCCCAACACAGAAAATTAGACTAGACAAAAGACATTTGCCCTCTTTCGATAAGTCATAGGAATAGGGAAGTTCTTAAAGCATCTGAATTCCACAGCTCCAAAGCGGCAAAGGGGAAGCTCAGAACCCTTTGCGGGGTATGGACAGTAAGTGAATTCCAGAAGCCGAGCTAGCCAGAACCAACAAGGAGTCAAGCTCAGCTCCCAAGGACAAAAGCATAGTTCAAGCATGGAAATCACTTTCTCTTCCACAGGGCTGGCTTGTAGAACTTGAACATGAGTAAGGACCAGGACAGAGGGCTGTTGGGGGGTGGTTTCTAGATCCCAAAGAATAAGCATGACCAAAGTAATATTATTCCTATCAGCATATGTAGAGTTCTTTACATGATGTTTACAAAGTACTTCCCTAGACTTATCTCATTTGTTTACAAACATGTGGCTGGGAATGTTTGGGGGCTGATTCTGCCTAATTTGGGAAGGTGAGCTTTGGGCAAGCAGGCAGATCTCTTCCTCCCCATCCCTACCTCACCTCCCTTAAAATGAAGACCCCTCTGCTTGGAATGAAAGCTGGGATTTTCTTCAGACATTGCTATCACAATGGTAGATGGGGTGGGTGGCGATGGCCAGGGAAATCCCCCTAGTGATCTTCAGTGTGAAGATCAGAAGCCTTCTAGGGCTTTCTTCATATTATTGATTACTAATTGTAGTAGTAGATGGCAACTCACATTCATATAACTCTTTGATCCTTGAATGGAGGTAGAGGCAGAGGGAGATCCAAGACCCAGCAGAGGAGAATCCTCCAGAACTTGGAGCCAAGGCTGGCACTGGGGGCATTTCATGTCAGGGATTAGAGGGTTGTGGTCGCCTTTGGATCCAGGGAGATTGAGGGTTCATGTGAGGACAAGTGAAGAACAGCATTCCATTCAGTGTGTCTTACAACTCCTGAAGAAAACTCTCATCTCATTATTCTCTCCACATGCATTTGTAAGCCATAGCTTTTGGTAGCAAAGAGGATAGAGGGCAGGGAGGAGAGAGAAGAAATGGGGCTAAGTGAAAGGTGGCGCAGGTTGGTGTTGAATTCCCAGATAATTCTTGCTCTGATTGTGAACAGGCAACATATGCATGAAACCTCTGTGAGATCTCTCAGTGTAGGACCTACCCTTCTCTGTCTAGACTCTCCTATAAGGTTTCTTGGCCCAGAGTTTCCTCCCTGAGGAGTTTGTCTCAATTGGAAGCCCCTCCTTGAGCTCTCCTTCAGTATGGACCTTCTTGGTAGAGTTACTTTTTGTCTGAGCCCTGTATGAGATCTTCCTTGGGTCAAGATCTTCTAGAGGGACCTCTCACTTTCTAAAGTCTTACTCACATTCTAAAGCCCCATCTAGAGTCTTGATTCTAGCAGACACTTCATAAATGTTTGTGGAATTGGTTAGATTTTGTTATGTTCATCTAGTGTCCTCTGTAGGGTTGCTGTCTGATGACTCTTTGTGGGGTGCCCCTTGTTCTGGATTCCTCTGGAAAATCTTTGTTTGGGACTCTTTGTTGGGTCTCTTTGTGTGAACAAACCCCTTTATGGGGAAATTTCTCACTATCTGGGATTCTTTGTGATATCTTCCTATGGGTGGACTCTTCTGTGGAGTCCCCCTCAGCATGGGATCTTCTGTGGGGTTTGCCTCACTTTTGGAGTATCTTCTGTAAGCTTTCTGTAATTGTAAAGCACCCTTGGTTGGGGCATCCAATGTGATCTATCCCACTCTCAAGTCAATTGACGAGCTCCTGTGCCTTCTCAAGGACTGTAAGTGGGTTGAAATTCTCCTCTGCCTTTACTACAGTCTTGTATCCTGCTATTCCTGGTAAATGGTTGGTGAGTCAAAAGGGCATTGATTAAGCACTTATTATGTACCAGGTAAATTGTAAATTCCCCTTATATTCCTCTGCTACCATGCCCACCCAAGATCCTTCTCCATCAAAGCTCCAGCCAATTTTGGAAAGTCATGTTTTGTTTGTTTCTTCTTCTGTCTTGAAAATGACCTGGAGGGCAGCGGTGAAAAGACTTGGAAGTGGGTTGGTATAGAACCAACCCCCACTCAATGAACTGTAACCCCTGAGTCAGCCCATGTTATACCATCACTCTCTTTCCTCATCTCTAGAAAGTCTCCCAGCTAGCTCTGTCTGATAGTCTAGTGTTAAAGCCATGATTCACTCCAGCCCAGCAGTCTTGGCTAGCCTAGGGACTTTGTACTTTAAAGAATATCTTTCACAAAAGGATCCCTAAAGCCTGAGCAGGCATGAGGTCACCTGCCCTGGGAGCATCCCTGGCAAAGGAAGGGGGCTCTTCTCTCCTAGTCAGAGAAAAGCAGGCGCCAAACAACTAATCACAGAGAAGGTAGTGAGAAAACAGAGAACACTACAGAGTCATAGAGCCATAAGAATCCTAAAATTGATCTAGTCTAATCTTATTATACAAATAAGAAAATGGAGGCCCAGAGTAGAAGGATTTGATCAAAGGTACATAGTTAATTAGTAGCAGGGTTGAGAGTAGAACCCAAGTCCCCCAATTCAATATTTCCTCCACTGCTTGCAGAGAGAGCTTCCCAGCTGCTGCTGCTCCTTTGCCCAGTCTTGAAACCATGAACTATTCTGTTTCCATCAAAACTCAGACAACTCAGATGATGAGCAGTTGTCTCAGCAGAGGGATGCCTCAAAAAATGCCTTTTGGACTGAAAGGCAACACTTACTATGAAAGGGTGTGGAATCTCTTCTAATAATAACAGCTCACATTCATATCTCCCTTTATAGTTTACGAAGAACTTGTGTTATTTACACATAAGGAAACTAAGGCACGGAAAAGTTAAATGATTTGCCCAAGGTCAAACAGGTAGTAAACGGAGAAGCTGGGATAAAACCTCAGGTCTCCAGATACCCAGGTCATCTCCCTTTTCACTGCCCAGTTCTCCTCCTGCAAGGTTTGGAAAGTGGTCTCATAGGAAGGTGATGGATCATAGAAGAGCAAAACTTTGAAGGTCTCTTCCTAAGGGATTTGACTGTTTATAGAAGTGCCCCTCACCTATTCTCTTCAATTTGGGAGGATTCTGGAGGGAGTTAGCTTTTCTCAGGGAGATGAGGGAAGAGGATTCCCTTCTGAGGGAAGGGCTGGAGAAGAACGAGGTATTGAGATCTCTGGCCACAGGGTCACAAGATTTAGAGCTAGAAAGATCCTTAGAGATCATCTAAGTCCAACCTCTCATTATTTTTTAGAAGAATAAAATTATTTAATCAGTCAAATTATTTAATATTATTTTTTTACCCCTAATATTTTAAGCATAATATTTTGTCTCCTAATGGTATCCATTTTTGCTCTCATCTTTTCCCAAAATCATGATTGGAAATACTGTATTTTTAATTTTTAGTTGAAGCACAATATCTCTTATATTGGGCCTTCACTTTAAAGCTATATGAAGGTTAAAGAATGGTTCATGGCACAATTTCTAAACCTTACCACATCAAAACAACAAAGATATATATGATACATATACATATGCACATACAAAACTTCAGCAAGAGGAAAACAAATTGGAAATACTCAACAAATGTAAATCCTTTTGAAATAAAATGGGATTGAAGAACAAAGGACTGATTCCTCCAGTTCAGCCATAGTGGATAT